ATAGTAGACATAAATCATTTTTTCACTTTGGGGGTAGATTTGAACATTTTGAAGCATATGAAAGTATTTTAAATTTTCTATTTAGTAGTAAAAAATTGAGATTATTAGATGATGAAAATTTAAAAAAACATTGCCTTAACCTTGATTGATCCCTTAAAAAATAATATTAACTATAATATTAATAGTTTAGACTTATTTTTTGAATTAAAAGTGTTGAGAAAATAGTACAAGTAGAAGATAACACTCGAATTAATATGCTCAATCAGATAAAAAACTTAAATTCTTTTTCAAATGATTATATTGATTATAGAAGAATATTAACGGTTCATGTTAGAGTTGCCTCAGCTAGCAGAAATAGCTTTTCCAAAATTAAGATGCTAATATTACATATTAGCTATATTATCAATTTATAAAGAATTATAAGAGAACTCAATTATAGATAAATTATTAACATCTCAGAAATAAAAAAATAAACTTAAAACAAAAATATATATTAAAGTTTTTTGTTTAAATTTAAGGCCTCCAATTAAATTTTTGCTTTAGGCCACAAATATTCTTAAGCCGCCCCTGGACAATGGGTTCAACTAAACTCAATGTGCCTATAAAAATCACTTGAATTTTAAGAAAATGGATTGCATTTACATAAAGATTGACTCATCAAGTTTAAATCCTTGATTTATTTCTGATTTTTGGCTGTATTAATTTGATCAAAATTTTCCATGTTAGTTTTTTTATATAACATTTGGAATAATTAAACTTGCAAATATTATTGTTGTAGGATTTCACAGAGTTTTATAACTTTGAAGAATGTGTAGAGTACATAGAAGATTTTATGTCAAAGCATGGACCTTTTGATGGTATTCTTGGTTTCTCACAAGTAAGCCTTATTACCATATTTTTTGTATTTTTGTAACCTTCCTCAGAAGTTTACTCTATCCTGTTTATTTATTTTTTTTTAATAATAATTTTATTATTATTTTTTGGTTGTTGGGTGAAAAATAGGGAGCAGTTTTAGGTGCAGCAATACCAGGCATGCAAAGGGAAAGAGTGGCTCTAACAAAAGTTCCAGAGATAAAGTTTGTAATCATAATATCAGGGGCAAAACTAGGAGGGCCTACATATGGGGTACCACAATTGGCTGCCAATGCATTTTCTTCTCCTGTCAACTGCCCATCCCTTCACTTTTTAGGTATGTTCATATTATAATTTGTTTTTTAGCAATAGTTGAAGATTCCTTAATTTTAAATAGATTATTTTTTGGGCAAATAGATTGGTTAACATTAGGCTCATGTCTATATTAGTCCACACATTGGGTGCTCAAAATGAGTCAACCAACTAAACATGAGTTGTGGTTTATTTGTAGCACCGAAAATATAAAAATATGATGTGTGTGTATGAACAAAGTCCTATAATAGTTGCTGAAAAGATTGAAAGTCTATATAAAAAATGTAGGGATCTCTTAACGGTGGGAGGTTTTTCGAAAAAATCGTGCGGGTCTAGCTTAAAGCAGACAATATCACCCAATATTTAGAGTATATTTGGGCTAGTTTAGCCCAACTACGGATATCAGAGCGCGGATTCGGCGGAACGAGTATGGAGATGGTAAAATAATGGTCTGAGGCGGGCACACACAAGAAGAAGCTAGTTGCGGGCTTCAATTGCGATAATATTCTAACAATATGGGTGGTACATAGTGAATGTCAGAAATTGACCCGTGGATTGTGGCAATGGGCCATATGGAACTTAGTTCGAGGGGGGACCCGTGAATCGCGGTAGTGGTGAGCCACGTGGAACTTAGTTCAAGAGGAAGATTGTTGGGTGTGCGAACAAAATCCAATATTGGTAATTGAAAACCTACATATTAGGTGTAGACATCTATTAATGGTGCAAGGCCTTTTTAAAAAAATCGTGTGAACTTAACTCAAAGCGGATAATATCACATAATTGTAAGAGTATATTTGGACTAGTTTAGCCTAACAAAATAATAGATCGAAATAAGGTCATCGCAACACCCATCAAATGAGTAATTCAACCCATGTCAAATCTTACAGATTTCATGATTTCAGTTGATTCTTGATACAATAACTTTGTATTGAGTGTTGGATCCTTACTTTAATATTATAAGGATTTTTTAATTTTTTATGTAGCACCATTTTCTAATACAATTAGTATAAATATATTCATTTTTCTTTTTTAAAGGAGAGACGGATTTTCAGAAAAAAGACGGTGAAATTCTGCTGGAGAGTTTTGTTGATCCACAAGTGATTCATCATTCTAAAGGCCATACCATACCAAGACTAGGTGAGTATTTTATACAGTTGCTGCTTTGTAATTTACAATCTACTTGGTTTAGAATATAAATATAATTATTAACTTGACTAATATTTTATATTCAAATGAAACTTCTTTTTGAGGTATAATTTCTTGGTCATCAATTAACTTTTCAAATTGATTTTTACTGCCACTGCAAAAAAACTACTCCTTAAACAATCAAAGTAAAATGTAGGAAGAAACGTACGTTTCCTTGTTTCATCAATTTAGTTTCAAATTATCTATTGGAATTAAACATGATTATACCTTAATTATTTTTTGCAGATGATAGCAGCCTTGAAATAATGCTTGGGTTTATTGAAAAAATTCAAAAACTTTGAGACTGCACGACGAATTAATTGTAGTTCTGGGTCCACAAGAATTCTCGATTGTATGACATATGAATAATGGTTAATTTTTTTTTTCCAGTTATATTTTCTGGATTATGGACATCTATGTTGGGTTTTTAAATATATTAATGTTTAAAAGAGGGTGAATGAGAAATTGAGGGAAAATGAAATATTTGAGTTTCATTTGAGATTCCCTCCTTGATGAAGGAACATCGTCCCATATTGGAAGAGGAAGAGGTTTTTAATAAGTATATAAGCAATTGCTCTTCTTCTAGCTTTTAAAGAGTTCAGAAGAAGGCAAGTCTCGCGACGTCGTCGCTCGCTTGGCTTCGGCTTTGGATTTGATCAAATGATTGATTGATTAATTTTTTGGACCAAATTTATTTGTTAATAGTAAATATTAACAGAAATGTTATTAATTATCCGTTTTAATAACTAAATATTAATATTAAATCCAAGAATATTAATATTAAAATCCAACCGTTTCCACTTTCCCGTTTTCTGCTTTGCTTAGATTTTTCATACGATTTTCTGAGTTTCTTCTCCTTCTTCTGCATTGTTTTAACTTCAAAGAAAGCAACAGTAAGTGTGATTTGCTACTGAACTTTGTGTTCGCTGAAATACTAGGGTTACCACTATACCAGTGTGTAATTCGTTATATCCTGGGAGGAAATAATCCATAACCTTGGGTACTAGGAAGAGATTAAATTCCTTAAGGGAACCCTATGAATTCAGTGAGCTCGAATTAACTTTTGTTTCGTTTATATTTCTGTTTATGTTATTTTATTTTCTCCAGAATTATTTTAGAAATACAGTTTACTAACAATCTAATGATGTAATATTTCACAAACACGATAATTTACTAGTATATATAATTACCACAGACTTTTTAAACTACATGCTTTAACTTTATGGAGATTCTATTCCAGTCCAACCTTTGTTAGTACTTTATCTCACATCATATCGTCTTAAGAGTATATACTCAGATAAAAAAAAGTTAGGTGTTGTAGGAGGTAACTTATATTATTCTTTTTTGTTACTAATTTCATTTTTATTTAAAAAAAATTCTTCTAATTATTTTTCAATTGATACACCTAACACAAGCGAGAAGGAGAAAAGTAAAAAATGATACTATTAATTACTATGTTCAGCTTGTGAAAAAATACAAAGTCAAGACAAAAATTGTGGTAGTTGTGGGTCAATATTGGCTGAATGATTAGAGTAGTTCTAAAGGAGACAATGTGACAACAAGCCATATATAATAACTAATAAGTGAGAAATCAAAGTGGCCTTACATTTTCCAGAAAAATAATATCAAAACAAAAGCTAACATGGCAAAAAATCTCAGCAGAAGAATCCTCTGCCTCCATGACTTTGATCCTCCTTAATTTTAATGGTTAAAATCAAATAATTTACTACTTCCTCCTCTCCACAATAAGTGACCAATTTACTACGCCCATAAAGGAAATACAAAATTCTGAACCAAAATAGTTAGTGTGACTAAACTGCCCTTAGTTAAATGTTGCAGCATACTTAATGTGAAGAATAAAAGACTTTTTAAGGATACGTACATAAGGATAATTTTAGAAAACAAATTGAATTTTTTCTTAATTATATAAATGGACACTTATTTTGAACCGAAATAAAAAGACAAATTAATCACTTATTGTGGATCAAATGGAGTATTAATTAACACTTGCTTCATTACCGAAGTACTCCCTATCATAATTTCTTTATTATAAGAAAATGAATTGAGACATTTAATTAAGGAGGAAGGGATCCAACTATCTCACCAGGTGGTTCATCCTATCCTTGATTCACTACTGTATCTGCTCATATTTATTCAATTTTAGTATATCTTTTTCTAGTATATCTTTTTATAAGGTCCGTGTACACATTGCTTTTTTCAGATCCTGTGAGCGGAATGTCACTGGGTGGTTGTTGTTGTAGTATATGTTTTGTAGGATTTCACAGGGTTTTACAACTTTGAAGAATGCCTCGACCTGTACATAAATGTTAATTTTATCTTACAATAGGTTTATCTACGGTCAACAACAATAACAACATACTATTATATTTCCACGAATGTGATCTGGGGAAGATAGTATATACGCAGACTTTACTCTTACCCTAGGTAGGTAGAGAATTTGTTTCCTATAGTTTATCTACGATCAACTACCATATTTCTGAGAATTTTTAGATGAGAAAGTGCCTAGGTGGCAACATAAAGCAACTTTTCAGAAGCGTAGACAACAGAGTGCAACAAGTAAAGGCAAATCCTAAAAGAACAAAGATAAAATCTCTAAAGGTACGATAAACTGCATATATCCAAAATGCAATAAGGTAATTACTTTGAAACAAAAAAATGTAAGTGTCATATTTGGGCATGCATATGATACAAAAGCTGCAAATTGAATTTGAACTTGCCCTAGGCAGGGGCGAATCTAATGTAATGGAATTCCGAATTCATCTGAATTTAATATTTTCGAAGCGAACCATAAATTTATGTGGAAAAAACTACAAAAATTGTAATAAATAGCAGATGTAAGCCCCACAACTTTATAACTAAGAACCGTAAATATAGAACATGCAGAGTTCAAATTCTGAATCCGCCTCTGCGCCAGATATATCTAATTTGTCATTGGGAAAACCCTAGCCTTGATGTCCTCCATAGTTAATCCTTTCTCCAAATATTCAATGTTAGAAGGGTCAAAAGGTCCTTTTATTCTATCTACACATTTAATCACTGCCCTAGCTGGAATCACACTCTTTGATGGATCTGGACAAGTCCCATAACTCAAACAAGAAGAAAACCCTTTGAATATTAAAACTTCCACTTCTTCCTCATTCACAATAGCTTTCACAAGAAGAGCTTCATTTCTCACTGATTGACTATAAAACTCTAACATTGCTATTTCTTCATTATGTCCATATTCTTCATCATCTTCTTCGTCATCATTATCGTATATAACTCTCCTCCTTGCACGGCAAAATACGGATGCCAGAGGCCGTCCGACGTTTGATTTCCGAGTAGTGGTGGAGGAGGAAGAGTGAAAGGTGACAGCAGTTTTAATTGAGTTGTTATTATGGCTGTGAAAGTAAGGTAAAAGATATGGTAAATATTGTGAATTGCATGTTATTCTATGCTTCAACATACTAGCCAAAGTATAACTTGTTTTTCTTCTTTCTTGTTAGCCTTCTGCTGATGTTTTGTCCTTATTTTTTAGGTGTAACAATCCCAGGCATGCAAAGGGAAAGAGTGGTTCTAACAAAAGCTCCAGAGATAAAGTTTCTTTTCATATAGGATACCACTGGGGGTGTCAAATGGAGGGTTGGGCCTATTTTAATCGGTTTAAATGGGTTGAGTCAATAAATGCACGGGTCTAATGACCTGCCCAAAAATTACTTGGATTGAGATGTATTGAGTCAAAATGGGCTAAAATTTGGGTCACAGCCTAACTCGTCTAACTCTTACCAAACTTTAACTAATATGTAATTTTTTCTTATAAATTGTATAATTACTAAATATGACCTTTTTTTCTTTTGTTATAGTCATATATAACATATCAAATAAAAAAAATTATTTTTAAAATATTTTGGCAAAGTTACTCATGGATCAATTTGGGCTAAAATCAACCCAACTTTAAATGGGTTGAGATGAATTTGGGTCAATATAGCTGAGTTCAATAATGGGTTGATCAATAACCAGCCCAACCTTGAACACACGGGTTGGACGGGTCATTTGAGCTTGGGCCAAATTGACAGCCCTAGTACCACCGTTGACTGCCAATTTGGGCAGACTTACTTGTATTATTGAAGGGTCATCGGAGCCGTATATGTGTGAATATCTTGAAAATGATAATATAAATAACTTGGTACCCTAAATACTAAAAGAGTTTAGAGGGCATCGGTTGAGCAGTTTGCTCAAATTTCCTTACCCAATCTGCTGACCTTGGAAAAGAAATAATGGTGCCTGTGTCGCGTTAAAATCTTAGGACCGTCTTTGATTCAAATGCATTTTCTTATGGATAATATGAGCAAAAAAGTAGAGCAAAATATAGGAAGGATCATTTGCTTGGTTTAGTAATTATTTACATGATCTAAGTTTGAAATAATTTACTAGAACAAAACTTGATTATACCTTTATTTATCTTTGCAGATGATGGCAGCCTTAAAATAATGCTTGGGTTTATTGAAATAATTTAATAGTATGAATTAATTCTCAAATATTTTTGGTTTCGGCTGTTTCGTTGTTGATTATGGGCATCTTGTGATGGAATTGTTCACAAGTAAACGCGACAATTTACGCTCTATTTTATCTAATGACTATAAGATAATATTTTGACAATTGGTGGAAAATGTTAAAGATGAGAAGAATGTCTACAAGTTAAATGTGATGGAGATGTTTGATTTTTCAGACAAACAAGCTAGAGGCGAAAGAACAAAATGCTTTTTTCACTTTTAGCCCGCGCTAAAAATTATTTACGTTCAATAATCGAAAAAGTGTATAGAATTTATATAATTTTTGTATATAATATGCAGAATGTGTGTGTGTGTTTATATATATATATATATATATAAATTATACACTTTTTCGGCTATCGAATATAAATAAAGTTGTATTGTTTTTAAGAGTATCTACAAAATTACTATATTTATACTACAATTAAACTACAATTTATGTTGGAAAAAAATGTTGACTACAAAATTTTCTCTTCACCTACAAAATTTCTACAAAAAAGTTGACTAAAAGTTGAATCTTTGAATCAAAGTCAGAAGAAGGGATAGGGGATTGATTGGTTTCAGGGGTGATTTGAAGGTAAATATTGTATAGAATTTTGATATGGACATCAACATTTGACACGACTGAGGCTGGGCTTATGCTTCTCTTCTCCAGCGGCAATAGCTCTATGTCGTAAAACCATAAGAATATGATTTTGAATCCGAAAAGAAATAGGAAAGCGTGGGCCCTACTATTTCGTACGTAACAAAATTGCAATTTTTATCTCTGTATTTTTTGAGAAGAGGAAGAAAGGGGAGGGGGAAAACGGCGTAGGTCTTGGGAATTAGGGGGATAGAGAAACGTGGGATATATGGGCACCTTTAATTAAGGAGTAAAAACTGCCCATTAATTAGACCATTAATTAAGTATGGTATAGGATTTGTAATTTGTATACTAAGTGTAATTAAATCAAACCTTAAACATTAAGGGTAATAAAGTTTCCTATGTGGCATAGGAAAGTAAAAATCCTAATATGGGATTTTTTCCTTCCTATACCATATATGAAACTTTATTACAAAAAATGTGCATATTTTGTAAATTACCCGCCTTGTGCACTGTTTTTCTATAATTTTTATACCATTCATTAATTAGTAATTAATAGTAGCTGAATCTTCCGAATATGGCGCGCTAAAAATCAGGAAAAGAATATCATATACAGCCAAGTCAGATTTTGGTTCTCAGTTCCAATTATTAGAAAAATTATCATTTAAGTCTTTAAAACCTTAGGAATGTGACTAAGTGTTTCGAAACAGTGTTAAAAACTCAGGACTGAAATCATATAGCATGCTGAATATCATGTAAACAGTGATAATAATCCCAAAGGGATTCAAATAATCGGCACTCGGCCCAAATATATCATAACAATCCAAGTAGGATGTTTACTAATCAGTCTATAGTCCAAGGCACAGCTTGAACACCACTCAGGGTGGACTAAGCCACAATCCCCCCAATCACAAACGACCCCGCACTCATCATGGAGTGCGTGTCTTGCCTCAATATAGCGTCACAGTGTGATAAATCGAGGTTTCAAACCCTCAGGTCATCATCTACATCTATTACTCACCTCAAGACGGCCGAAGACTAGCCCGCAATGCCCTTTCCTCTCGAATCGACTTCCTTGCGCGTCGAATCTGGCCAAAACCGCAACGAATACGTTACAATAGGCTAATAGAACACAACCCAATCGAAAAGACTCGAAAAACACCAAAAATCACGAAGTTGGCAAAACCCGAGCCCCAGGCCCACTTCTCGAAAAATTACGAAATTCACATCACCGGATTCCTCGTCTCGCCACGAGTCCGTACATATAAAATTTACCAAAATCGGAGTTCAAATGCTCCCTCAAATCCCAAATTTTCATTTCAAAAACCAAGCCCTAGCTCTTCCAATTTTTTACCCAAATTTCCAAGAATTAAAGGTTGATTCTTCAATAAAATGATGTTTCTAAGTCACGAGACTCACCTCCAATCAATTCCCATTGAAACCCTCTTCAATTTCTACCAAAAAGCTCTCAAGGTGGTCAATTGAGGAAAAATGAATAGGCTCGCGGATGAAATAATCAATTAAAACCCTTCTGTCCAGGTGTTTTTAACCCTATGCGATCGCGGTCCTAGGCATGCGATCGCGATGAACAAATTCTCAGGGATTCAAAAACGTTCTATGCGAACACAAAGGAGCTATGCGATCGCGGTTAACAATTTCCCAAACCTATGCGAACGCGTCCAATTTTATGCGAACGCGTAGAGTAAAAATATGCTGCCCCAAAATCCTCTCGTGCGAACGCGGGATGAACCATGTGATCGCGTAGCTTTACCTCCCAGTGCTATGCGATCGCGACTCAATGGATGCGATCGCATCGGCCAATATTTCCTTCTGCAATATCTGTTGAAACCTGCAACTTTCAATAGCTAAACTTGGTCCGTTTGACCACCCGAAATCACCCCGATGCCCCCGGGACCTCAACCAAAATCACAAACATGACCTTTTGCCTTATTCAAACTTGCTCGAACCATCAAAACGCTATTGTTAACATCAAAATCCCCTAATTTCCTTAAATCAAAGTCTAAGTTTCTTAAAAACTTCCGAATCGCACATTCGATCAAAAACCCGACCTAAACACATCCGAATGACATGAAACTTTGCACACATATCCAAAATTACCTAACGGAGCTACTGCAACTCTTGGAATTCCATTTCGACCCCCGGATCAAAATCTCACCTATCCACCGGATTTCGCCAAAATACTAACTTCGTCAATTCAAGCCTAATTCTACACCGGACCTCCAAAATCAATTCCGATCGCACTCCTAAGTCACAAATCATTTCCCGAAGCTAACCAAATCACCGAAAATCACATCCGAGCCCTATAACTCATAAGTCAACGTCCGGTTGACTTTTCCAACTTAAGCCTTCCTTAAAGAGACTAAGTGTCTCATTTCTTATCAAAATCATTCCAAATCAACTCTCTCACACCACATACCGATAATGAAATATGAAGAAGCAATAAACGGGAAAAACAGAGCAGCAACACATGAGACGACGGGGCGGGTCGTCACATCTTAGGAATTAGGGGGAGCAGATTAAAATTGTTATGTTACAAATTCTATGTAAGTCTGATTTTATGTTAATATCTACAAAATTCCTACATTTATCTACAAATAAACTACAAATCAGTTTAAGTATGTATAAAGCAGTATTGTTTTTAAGGGAATCTATAAAATTACTACTATTATACTACAATTAAACAACGATCTATGTTGAAAAAAAATATTGACTACAAAATTTTCTATTCATCTACAAAATTTCTACATATAAACTACAAATCAGTTTAGTATTGTATAAAGCTGTATTGTTTTTAAGGGTATCTATAAAATTACTACATTTATACTACAATTGAACTACAATCTATGTTGAAAAAAAATATTGACTACAAAATTTTCTCTTCATCTACAAAATTTCTTCAAAAAAACTAAAAATAAACTACAAATCAGTTTAAGTATTGTATAAAGCTGTATTGTTTTTAAGAGTATCTACAAAATTACTATATTTATACTATAATTAAACTACAATTTATGTTGAAAAAAAATATTGACTACAAAATTTTCTCTTCGCCTACAAAATTTCTACAAAAAAGTTGACTAAAAGTTGAATCTTTGAATCAAAGTCAGAAGAAGGGATAGGGGATTGATTGGTTTCAGGGGTGATTTGAAGGTAAATATTGTATAGAATTTTGATATGGACATCAACATTTGACACGACTGAGGCTGGGCTTATGCTTCTCTTCTCCAGCGGCAATAGCTCTATGTCGTAAAACCATAAGAATATGATTTTGAATCCGAAAAGAAATAGGAAAGTGTGGGCCCTACTATTTCGTACGTAACAAAATTGCAATTTTCATCTCTGTATTTTTTAAGAAGAAGAAAGGGGAGGGGGAAAACGGCGCAAGTCTTAGGAATTAGGG